TGTACATGTACCAAATCTCATCTAAATCTCACAAAACAATGAGGTAGTCAGAGTATCCTAACTGTCCTTTAATAGGTTTTTAAACGAGGAGAGACTTAGATTCAGAAACCTGCTCGGCTAGTTGCCATCCTTATCACATGACTCCTCCAAGACCTAAGCTCTTACTTTGTGTCCTTTGACTTGTAGGTCTGCTGCCTTAAATCCAATCAGGAAAACATGTATCTAAATATAACCAATATAATATAAACTCATGTTTTGGAACATGCAAGAAAAAAAAACTTTAAAAGGCAACAATAAAGCTGATGTGAGCAATCACAATAGCAGCCCACCAAAGCATTATCACCTAGTCAGGCATGATGCTAAGCTTTACAAGATTTATCAATGGCCACTTCAGTGACCATTACCTCCATTTTCCAGGTGAAGAAACCAGAGGCCTAGGAGTTAAGAATGTGGCCGGACGAAGGGCTTGTAAGAAATGGAACCAGATCTGCCTGGTTCTAGACGATGCTTTTCCTGGCTATGCTCTTTTACTGCTCCATCCTCCAGTTTTACACGCCTTCCAGCTGCTTAGAGGATGCCTTCTTGAAGCTGAATGATCCTACCCTTTAGCAACACTTCTTCCTGTTTCTAAGTTCATACTCATCAAGCAACTCTCCTGATACTAAACTGGTTTTCCAAGCCCATTCTCTACTTCGAAAAAGAAGAGCTGACCAGTCAAAAAAGAAAGTGGATACTCTTGGCGATGATTATTTTTTAGAGTACATTACACAAGACCAGGCATTCTGGTTTTGAACATTAAGTTGACCATAACTTTTTGATTCACCTAACTAATCATGAAAGCACCAATATCCTTTTCGGAGGATCATCATAATAGAGAAAAATCATCAAGTCAGACATTAACCCTATACAAGCCCACAACTGCTAAGCTCAACTCTATACCTAAGAATTTAACAAAACAAAACAAAAGCTACTGTTACTGTTTAAAAAAAATATCTGGCTGATAGAACTACTACATATATAGCTGGAAGCACTTGCACTAGCCTCCTTCCTTCTCCAGCAGGAAAAATAAAAATACATTATGCAAACTTCTAGTGTTTTTGGTGTTAAGGTGAAGAGAATGAAAGAATTACTACACAGAAAAAAATATATTACCAGTTTAAGTGGAAGGGACGTGTTGTTTCAGAACTAATTTTATTTTGGAAATACCAGACAAGTGGCAGGTCTTACTGACAGATCAGAATTTCTTCCCCCAATCTTCCCTTCCCTCCCATACTCTATAATACTTGAGGACCTAATATTTTTTGGGAAAAGCCAAAATTTAGATGTGTCCCTTAGTTTCCTCCCCAAAGGTTAGCCGGCTAATTCTTACCAGAGTCATGGTCTTGAATAGGGAAAATCAGTAGATTCTTTGGCTTACACAAATCTTGCTAATTCTTCCAGACCCTACATGTCTACAGGTTCACTGTTTTCTAAAGTTGCTTTCCTATCCTCCACCCTGATTTTCTATCTTCTAGATGACACGAGCAGTGGCAATTCTCAGAGGAAAGGATAACTGGAAGGCATGCACTAAGAACACCACAACACGGGAAACTGGCCCATTCAAAGCTGGGAAGTGGTACTGAGAAGTGAGAATGCTCACCATGACTCCTGTTCATGCCCATCAAGTCAGGAGAGCCTAGAACATGATGTCTTTAGAAGAAATTTGCATCTGGTAAAGTCAAGGAAATAAAATAAGGATGGAAGTTTTTTGACTTACAATGAATGGCAGCATTATGTACAGAATCAGGAAGCACAGATTTTGTAAAGCAAAAAAGGGTAGGAAAGAAGGAACCACAACTGACTGACATTTCTTTTTTTTTTTTTAATTTAAGCATTGATCCAATTCTCTTTAATTTTCTTAGCCAGTCCCTTTTTGTCTGAAAATACAGTTCAACCCAGTCCCTTTCAAAAAGCACCAATAAAGTTTCAGCGATTTCAATTATTCCTATATGAAAGCTGAGGAGAAGGGAGACAGACAAGTCCCAGGACAATATCTGTTGGGCTGACAAATGGTAGGCATAAAAGGAAAGACAATATGGAGTTGTGCTTGTGTATGTGTCATATATGTATATCACTAGATGAGCTAGGCTCAACCACACAAAAGGGAAGAAAAGCCTTATCACAGCCAATCTGTCAAAATCTGTAGGTCCCACAAGTATCTGCCTACCAAGGTTGATATTTTATTTGTTCCAAATAGCTGGAGTCCACTTTGAAAGAGTACTGACAATAATGCAGATGTCGAGTTCTGGTTGCTTTTATGGTTTACTTTGAGGATCCTACAGGGCAGCACCCAGAGTCGTTTGAAGACAGATGCACTCTGATATCTGCCATAATGCTGCAAATATGCGTAACTCATCAACATTTGATATAGGTATTGGCAAAATGATCCTTTGGTACTTTAAGAAAATATTACATGGGGCGCCTGAGTCACTCAGTCAGTTAAGCATCCGACTTCGGCTCAGGTCACAATCTCACAATTTGTGAGTTCAAGCCCTGTATCGAGCTCTGTGGTGACAGTGCAGAGCCTGGAGCCTGCTTTGAGTTCTGTGTCTCCCTCTCTCTCTGCCCCTCCCCTGCTCACACTCTGTCTCTATCTCAAAAAAATAAACATTAAAAAAAAAAAATTTAGGGGCACCCGGGTGGCTCCATTGGTTAAGCATCCAACTTCAGCTCAGGTCACGATCTCACGGTTCATGAGTTCGAGCCCCGCATCTGACTCTGCGCTGACAGCCCAGAGCCTGGGGCCTGCTTCGGATTCTGTGTCTCCCTCTGTTTCTGCCCCTCCTCCCCTGCTCACACTTTCTCTCAAAAAATAAACATTAAAAAAATTAAAAAATAAATAAAATAATACAAAAAAAATATTACAGACTCACTGAATCTTCATTCTGAAAACAATCATTAAAGAGAACCTAATTCAGGGCTCAATTGGTTAAGCAGCCGACTCCGGCTCAGGTCATGATCTTGCGCGGTTCATGAGTTTGAGCCCTGCCTCGGGCTCTGTGCTGACAGCTCAGAGCCTGGAGCCTGCCACAGATTCTGTGTCTCCTGTCTCTCTCTCTCTGCCCCTCCCCTGCTCACGCTCTGTCTCTCTCTTTGTCAAAAATAAATTTAAAAACATTAAAAAAAAAAAGAGAGAGAACCTAATTCAGTCCCCTTCTCCTACAGATGAGGAAATTTAGAGGCTAAAAGGTGGATTTAAGCATCATGCACATACTGGAAAGAACATAAGCAAAATTTATTTGAAAGCAGTGAATTAAAGAAAATCAAATCAAAGAGAATTAAAATCTTTCAAAAGAAAAGTGTCTTTTAGCTTCATTTTGTACACAGAACAATCATAAATTACATCCTCTTCCTCTTGCAGAAGACGACTCACACCATAGCAAATTAGGTCTTTTCTAAAATACACACTCATTCCTTCAGGCAGACACACTACCATGCTGTTCTTTCCGTTTACATTCAACTCTAGATCCCATCACCTAACTGAAGTGTTTTCACAAAGTTTCACAAAATTACTGAGGCTCAGCAAGTTAAGCATGTTTATTAATCCTCACCCCAGTGAACCTACTTCTAGGGAAAAAAACAGAGGTACCATAATCTAAAGGTAAATTGACCTTTCTTTTAAAAAGTAGAAAAGAAAGGTGGGTAGTTCTAGAATTTTTACTATTCCCAAGACCCTCCAGAAGAGTGGATACTGGCTATTTAAAACAAAATATGCATGCAGTGGATTGGGACCTGATCATCAAGCAATGCCAGTGGTTCTTAGCAGTGGCCCCTGGAAGGAGGCTACATGTCAGAACTAAAAGAAATGTGGAATGCATATTTTAGAGGTAACCTAAAATCTGCCCTTAGCAACTCCAATCTTAGGAAGGAAAGGGGTAATATTGTATATAACCCTAGATTTATCCAGTATGTGTCCTATGTGTATCCACAGTCAGCTTGTATATCTGGGAGGATGACAATGAATAATCTGATGTCACTCACTTAATAGGGGGGAAAAAACCTAAGTCTTGAGGGATTCAATGGCTTTTATGGTCCTTCTGACAACTGACAATTTCTATTTAGAGACTGTTTTGCAAAGCTACTTGGTCCACAGACACTAGAAAGGAGAACTAATATCAGCCAGACCTTTCATCCAGGATTAACTAATACAATGACTTTCTGGTTAGATTTTGATGCTCCTGAACTCAACCCAACAATTACACTGACAAACCATTTCTAACCTGCAAAGCAGCTGACCACCTATACCATGCAAATTCCACTAATGGGAGACTCCTGATGTCCAGTTTTGAAGCACCTGTTGGCTATCTACCAAAATGAGAAAATTCTCAGTTATGCATAAATAAGTTGACCTATTCTTTCAAATTCTCTACCCTACTCCCTCTTTCCCTTTGCCTGCCTTCTTTCTTCCTCTCCTCCCTCCTTCCCCCACCCCAATGGTATGCACCAGGGACCAGCAAACTTCTCTGTAAAGAGCCAGACAGTAAATAGTTCAGGCATTTTAGGCTCTGCCATTATGGCACAAAAGCAGCTATAGATAATCCATAAATGAATAAGTGTAGCTGTGTTTCAATAAAACTATTTATAAAACCAGGCAGTGGGCCACAGTTGGCTCATAAGGCTGTAGTTCATCAACCCCTAGTATAGAGTAGCAGTTCTCAACCTGTAGCCTAAATCAGAATCACCTATAGAATTTGTGAATACACAGATTTCTTGGCCCCATCCTTAAAGTTTCTGATGCAGCAAGTCTGTAGTAGGGCCTGAGATTTTGCACTTTTCTTAAGTTCCTAAATGATGTTGATGCTGCTGGTCTAGGCATCACACTTTGAGAACCACAGGTATAGAATAACAGTCTATCCTGGACTAAGTGGAAGGTTGAAATGTAATGAACAATTAGGAAAGTGGAAATTACATGCTGTAAACTTGTCTGCTAATTTTACAGAACATTTCATATGAAGACTTACTGTTAAGTGCCATAATATTATCTGTTCCTGGATGATGGAAATTTATTCCCATGCGTCCTGAAAAATAAAATAATTTTATTTTAAGCACAAAGAAAAGAATGCTTAATATAATCATTTCAAATACATAGTAAAAGACGGACATTACAAAAAGCTGTAACAGATTAATCTAGAACAATGCTATCAAAGGCCATAGCAGTTACAATGGTTTTTAAATCAAATCATAAAACATACAAATGAAAAAAAACCTTAAAGCCAAAATCTCAATAACAAATAAATAAAAACAAAAAAGAAGCTTCCATTATAACAGTGTGAAATTTTAAAGCATTTCTTGCATTCCAATTTAAACATGCCAACTGGATTAAGCATTTTATTTAAACAACCATTCATACTGCCCTTCAAATTCAAGCAGCAAAATAATAAATTCAAAGAAGTATATAAACTTAAAGCTTAGTGGGAATAAAAAGATAAAGGTTTCACAGTGGCTCAAAAATGCAACATAATTATCAGAATGGCAACCCGAAGAAAGATGGTAAAATTTATATAACAGGGATAGTGGGGAACAATGACTGGCCTAAAAATCTAGGGTTCTTATGCTTCCCCTACTACTAACTAGTTATATGACCTCGGGTAGAACGCTCATCTCCAGACCTTCATCCTTACAGTAACAGGGTTGCAAACTTCTGCCCACCCTGGCTACCTGCCTGTTCTTCTATACCTCTGAGCTAAGAATCATTTTTACATTTTAAAGAGATTAAAAAAAAATTAAAAAACAAAGAATATGCAACAGAGACCATCTGAACCACAGACCTAAAATACTTACTCTCTGTCCCTTTACAAAGTCTGCCAACCCCTGGTCTAGAAGATAAGTCTGAATCAGATGTTTTAACTCAATAGCCTCCAGGGTTAAAAGTGGAAGATGTAAAACAGTTGGTATGTTTTTCATGAATTATTTGGGAAAAGGAGGTGGATGTATTAAAAGAATAAAGAGGGGCGCCTGGGTGGCTCAGTCGGTTAAGCGTCCAACTTCGGCTCAGGTCATGATCTCATGGTCCGTGAGTTCGAGCCCTGCGTCGGGCTCTGTGCTGACAGCTCAGAGCCTGGAGCCTGTTTCAGATTCTGTGTCTCCCTCTCTCTCTCACCCTCCCCCGTTCATGCTCTGTCTCTCTCTGTCTCAAAAATAAATAAACGTTAAAAGAATAAACAGAGAGTCTGATATAGAAAAAAAATGTATAAAGTTTATTTGACCAAATACAAAATCGTTACTAAACAATTTAACAAAATCGTTACTAAAACCATGCTTTTGTGTAAAGCTAACATACATGAACTTGGTTCTGCAAGGCCTTCATGTCCAATTATGTGAAGGGTTGTCATGAAGTTCTCAGAAAAATGTCCATTTTATGTCATTACTACTATCCAAAAAAAACGTCAACAGTAGGGGGGGTGGTCAGAGAAAGCTGGAGATATGGAGATATGATATGGTGATTGATTTTTCAACTAATACACTGTTATTATATATAATTGCAAAAGGTCAGTCATCATTTGGTGTTGATCTCTGTTATGGGGTACTGGAAGCAAACATCAGTAGCTCTTCTGGCCCAAAAGAGAAGAATCACAGTGGACAAAACAGAGCATTTGCTTCAAATAAAAAGAAAGAATCATTAATTCTCAGTCAAATTAATGTTTTGCCTAGACAAGGCCACCCTGATCTCTTAAAAGCCCTCAGGTCACAGTAATTTGTGAAAGGTCATTTCATATTAAACGGCAGGGAAAAAACAAAACTCTTGTTAAGTGTAACGTTGCTACTACTGATGGGTGTGTGTCTGTGTATGTGTATAGGAGAGAGAGACAGTAATTAAAAATAGAAAAATCATCAACATGGGACTATTCTAATTTTACTATGAAGCATTATAGGACTTTCAATAAAAATTACTTTTAGTTTTTATTTTTTTAAACTTTATTAGGAGGAAGATATTACATCTATGTCTAATTTTATGGAGACTCTTATTAGCATTTATATTATAGTAAAATTAGTTTTTAGAATATATTTTAATGTTTTCCAGAGAAAAATCTTCCTATTAGTACACAACCATTTTTTAAATAATAGAATTGCCTACTTTATGTTTTTATTGATTTCATAGATCTTTTCACGTTTACTAGAAGCTAAGTATTAGTAGTTTCAAAAACTACCCATTGTTCAAAGACACATTTAATAGTATCTATGTATGTAACTACTCTATATGTCTTATTTTTTCCCAGTTCCTAAGCCATTTTAGAGTCTAAAAATTATAATCTACCCCAGAGGCTACAAGTGCTATCTCCTACCACCACCTTGATCAGAACCTATAATACAAAAATTCATCATGAGAAGAAGACTGACTCAACAGGGAGAGTTTACATTCTGGTTTCAGTTAGCTGCATCAATATTCTATTATTTTTAGATAATCAAACCTGATTTGGATTCATTGCCCCCAAATACTAATATCCATAAGAACTACATGTGATTTACTCATTGTATTCTGAGATGATACTCAAATTTAACAGTAAATAGTCACTGGAAAGTAAGCCTGAAAACCCAACAAGAGTTCAAAATCCCTAACAAAACATAAGGAAATGGCATATAGAGAGAATCTGTTCAATCTCTGACCAAGGAATATTCAGACATGGGTGTGGTTCCTAAAAAGCTAGAGGTGTTCCCTAGAATAATGAAGCGTTATCAAGAAAACCAAGCAAGCCCAAATTTACTTGATTCTCATTCAACTTCTTTTATTTCCTATGCTATGGTAAAAGAAAAAAAAAAAAAAAAGCATGTGGTTTA